CAACAAACTTGCGTTTAGACGTCAATTTTATCAGTGTTTCAAACGCAAAACACTTGTAAATGTGGCTACATGCGGCAAATCGTGTTTATAAGCGTTTGTGTTTGAAATTTTTTTTTAACTCTTCCTGTTCCCAATGCTGTCCTGAGCCTTTTTTCATCATGAAAAATGCATGCAAAGGTGCTCATATGGACAAAACACTGAACACAGGATGTTCCTACCAAGCTTGTCACACATTGTAATGATCAATTCACACCTCAGACCTCTCCCACCCTTGGAAACAAAACTTATGTTAATGACCATTCACACCTCAAATTCCTCATGAAGACCCCCTGCCAGGTGACCTTAATGACTCACTCCACCAGACACCTATCCCACCCTTGGAAACAAAAGAAATGTTAATGAGCAACTCACACCTAACTATCTCAACACATACTGCTCTCTCTGCTTCTACTCTGTGTATTTCTCTTAAACAGTCTGAAATAGTTAATAATTTACCACTTTTTAGTGCATTCTGGGCATTTGGGAGGTTCTCCCGTGCTTATATGCATAAACGCACATAAACGTGCATAAAAGTGTTATGCAAACACGGCTACACAGGCGTTTTTTAACCTACATTTTACAACAGTCACTTTCCATCGTTCAGAAAGGTCCCATGTACATGGGGCCTAAGCCTTACAGTGGTAACTCTGATAATGACGCTAATATAAGGGGTGACACCTGATTTAAGGGGGATGTAAGAGGAGACTCTGATGGAGGCCCTAATGTAAGGGAGGACTCGGATGAATACTCTGATATTTGATGTATGGGTGGACTCATTCAGTTATTATTTATAAAATATAAGATGCGTCACTCGTACTGAAAAGTTTGAAGACTTAGGGCAACAAAGACTGTTTTATTCAGACACTTTCATAAATGAAATCCAAACTTTCTCCTTCATAAACATTCTATACAGGATCAGTATTTATCACATGGCAAGCAAAGTGCAAACAAAGGAGACAAGGACTGTTAACTGTATTTATTTATGCACATTATGCTTGCACAGATTAGTATGAATACTGTTAGCAATGCAAAGACACATTCATGAAAACATAATCACGTATTTATGCAGCTTCAGCAACAACCCAGAGGAATCATTCATTAATGGCACTATCTATTTCACTTAATGAACCGTTATGGCATTACAGGGGGTGTGGATAATGGTAGACTTAAGGCTCAGAATGACTTCAGATAAACTTGAGTGACATCTGTGAGACAGTTTCTAAAAGAGATCAGGAACCTCTCTGGAGAAAGTGTGCTGCAGAAATAAAGCTGTTATGGGGAACCAATCCAAGGTAACTCTGGGTTAGGTTAATGATCCAAAACTATGCTATTTATACAACATAATGTATGAGTAATCTCTAAAGTGTTCAGATAGATGGTCATAAATACAGGATTTTGGCTGTTTCTGGTGTAGAGGTGAATGAATCAAACTGGGTAATCACTGAGTGTGAATAAATATCCAGTGTCCCATACTGAGCTGGTAGCGTATGCTGTAAGTGAGCGTAGGCTGGGCAAACCGCCATGGAGCACATTTGTAGAAGTTTATTCAACTCTGTTCTAGTGTTTTTGGGATGTTATAGTATACAACAGGTATAACTACGTACAGGGACGGACTGACAACTCATGGGGCACCCCGGGCAATAGGGGATCATGGGGCCCCTGTGTCCTCACCTGCACTCAAACCACACCCACAAAAGCATATTAAAGGTACCAGGGGCATCTCATGGGGCCCCCTACTGACTCTGGGCCCTCGTGCAGTGCCCGAGTTGCCGAATGGTCATTCCGTCCCTGACTACGTACAATACCCAGGTTGCTCTTACTAGTCCTAGAAATGAGCAAGTAATGGAAAATCTGCTCCACTAGAGTTTTGTCAGAGTGGCATCCATTACTCTCTTACAACCAATAATGAAGATCTGCCAGCACAGTACAGACAGGGTTATTAATAGTAAACATACCTCCAAGCCCCCTCCTTAACCACTTCTATACCAGCACTTTCAACCCCTTCTTGCCTAGGCCAATTTTTAGTTTTCAGCAATGTTGCACTTTGAATAAAAATTGTGCAACCATGCAACAATGTACCCTTATTACAATTTTATAATTTTTTTTTCCCACAAATAGAACTTTGTTTTGGTTTTGGTCTTGGTTTCTGTTATAAGATTTTAAAAGGAAATAACTTGGGCCAAAATATATTCTGCTCTATTTCTTTGGTGAAAATAACCCAAGTCAGTGTATATTATTTACTATGGTATATACTGTATATCTGAAAATTTATCAATCCTGATGTACTGACATCTCATTTCTTGAGGCCTGAAAATGTACAAATATCTCCCAAATGACCACTTTTTGGAAAGTAGACAGTCCAAGGTAATTAGTAAGGCATGGCATAATCTTTTGATGTTGTAATTTTATGTCACAATATTTGGAAAATTAAGACATTTTTTATACTGTCACCAGTTCAGTACAGCATCATCATATAACTGGGTGTCGGTGATCAGGGTTACTAACTGGTGACAGTATGCAAAAAAACACACCAAAAAATGTTAACAATTGAAAAAAAAAAAATTTCATGTTTTTTTTTTTACGTTTTTTTTTTTTTTCTAACAAATTGTGACCAGAGCAATAGTGTTATCATAGTAACACTGTACTAGTCTGGGTAAGTGAATTTCACTGTTTTAAGCAACCATTTTTACTGAATGAAATCAGTTATTTCAGTATTTACTATTGTTGTTAGCTGTGATTGGCCACAGCCTAGTACAGAGTCAATCACATAGTACAGATGGGCTGTGATTGGCTCTGTCTGTACCATGTGATCTCAGTGAATAATAACAGAGATCAACACAATACTACACAATGGATGGCATTAATGATTGGTCACAGCGATCACATGGTACTGGCAGCGGTACACTGATCAGTCATCTGCTGTGTCAGGAGGACACTGCCGGTGACAGATTGTGCCTCAGTGTGGCCCGTGGGGTGCACACAAGGCCCATTCCGGGGAGAAAGTCATGCAATGTCCACCTGGAACAACGGAAACAGCATCCATGTGAATGAGGCCTGAAAGTCCATAAACAAGAAACTGGGATTCTCATGACTTAATATTTGAAATAGAATGGATATTTCTCTTAATATAAATTATTCCTCAGGAGGTTTTATAAAGTCCATTTAGAAAAGCTTGCTATTTTTAGCCCAAGCCCTGATGAGAGGGCATATTTTGGCCCCTGAAATGTGTTGGTTACTGTATTCTTGCTGTTGTTAAATTCCTGTCAACAATAAAGGATTGTGGATGCTTAATTGTTTGGAGCTGTGTTTTTGACTTCACATGCTTTCTTTTTAAAACAGTCACAGCCTGTGTTGAAAATCCTACTCCTGCCAGCAGCTGCATAGTGGAAGAAGAGCTTCCATTGTAAAGGTCTGACACATCCACTACTGAGGTATGACACACCTCTGCAAAGAGATCCCTGCTTCCCTACAGAGAGAAAGGGTCCCATTCTGCAGCATGCTGGCAGGCAACAGGCTTTTCTGCTCAGATTGTGGCTGTTTTAATCACTTGTCCTCCAGAGGATGTGCCCCCCATCCTGACCAGGCCATTTTTTGCGTTATGACGCTGCACTACTTTAAATGACAATTGTACGGTCATGCAAAGTTGCACCCAAATGAAATTTACGTCCTTTTTCCCACGAATAGATCTTTCTTTTGGTGGTATTTGATCGCCTGTGCGGTTTTTTATTTTTTTGCGCTATATATAAAACAAAACTGACAATTTTGAGAAAAAAAAATATTTTTTACTTTTTGCTATTAAATATGTCCAGTAAAAAAATGTCTTTGCTTAAAAAAAAATCCCAATACACATAAATTAATTGGTTTACGTGAAAGTTATAGCGTTTACAAATGCCGGTATATATACTAGGCTTTTTTTTTTATTTTACTGGTAATGATGGCAATCAGCGACTTATAGTGGGACTACGGTGGGCATTCTGACACTGGGGGGGAACTGAATTGGTGTCACTGACATCCCCACTAACAGCAATACAGTGATCAGTGCTAATTAACAGCACTGACACTGTAGTAATGGCACTGGGCATGAAGGGGTTAACATGTGGGGCGATCAAAGGGTTAACTGTGTGCTGTGTGTCATTTTACAATGTGTGCTGTGTTTGTACTTCAGTGTAAGCACACTGCTTTGCATGGCTGTGCTGTGCATAGCCATGCAAAGCAGTATGTCGGAGCTGACAGGGAGGAGAACTGTTTTGTTTACTAACAGTTCTCCCCCCTGTCGGAGATCCTCTGCAATCACTGGGCGCCGTCAAGGAATCATCGGCTGGAACTCCGTGATTGACAGCCGCGGCCGCGAATGGCAATGCGGGTAGTGTGCCTCATGTGCGCCCCCTACGTGATTTTGCACACAGCTGCTGCCCTGTAGCAGTATTTCTGCTATGGGGAGGAGCTGACCCGGTTAAAAAGAACACAAATTGTAAGATTTTTAATTTTGATGTACCCAGAATGTATTTAGCTGATCAAAACTGAAAGCTCTATTGGACTTTATAGCTTGACCAAGGTGCTAAAACTTTCCAACTCTGTTTAAAGCAAAGGCAAACATTTTAGCTGGAGTTTCACTTTAAAATAATACAGAGAGGACTTTCTGAAATCATCTTGTTCCTGTCCTGACTGTCCCCAATCCATCTGCTGATAGTACAGGAGGCATAGTCTCAGTTGGGTGTGTATTGCTAGAGAGCAGGGGCGGACTGACAACTCATGGGGCCCCCGGGCAATAGGGGATCATGGGGCCCCTGTGTCCTTGCCCAAACTCAAAAAAGCCTATGAAAAAGGTACCAGGGGCATCTCATGGGGCCCCCTACTGACCCCGGGCCCTCGGGCAGTGCCCAAGTTTCCAAATGGTCAGTCCGCCCCTGCTAGAGAGTTTTTTTTTTGAGGGTGCATGTGATCAGCACAGGGTCAGAGGGTCAGGGGTTATGCAGCCTCATAGGACAGTCAGAGGTGAATGGAAACTCCTCCTACATGCTTTAACCAGTGCTCTGCTGGACACTGAACGAAGTCACAAGACTGCTCTAACTGCTGATGAGAAAAGGTATTTAGCAGTTTATATTTACTAAAATAATTGCATTTCCATGCTCTGTGGGAGACCAGATATAGTGAATGCAGGGTCCTAGGTTTAGTAACACTTTAATGGCAAAAAATCTAACCTTAAAGTGACACTGAACAATATCCTTTTTAAAAAAAAATATTCCATATACTGTACATCCACTACTTAATGGCCCTGTAACCTATTTTTCATTTAATTGTTTCTGACCGTGTTTTCTTAATTGTTTCTGACCATGTTTTCTGCCTGCTTGTACAGCCCTCTGTGAGCTCCTGAACCCTTCTTTCACCTTCTCATGTTTGTTTGGAATGAGCAGTGCATGTTGGTTGCGGTCACGTACACTGCTGTAAGCACACTACAGATTCCATAGTCCATCTCAGGAGCGAGCAAGAGCGAGTGACTAAATACAGCAGGACCATGGAGAACAAACATAGCCACCCTCTAATAGGAAGTCAGATCACAGCAGCAAAAAAAAAAAAAGCTGAATTTTTTGGAGGAGAGATTTGGAGGAGCCTAAAAGCAATAAAAGGTATGTTATTGAGTTAAAGTGTTACTAAACCCGCTTAAAAATGGTCTGTATATGCAGTAAAGCATGCTTGGTATACTCACTGTGGAATCCTCTGCATTGTGTAAAATGCTGTTTGATCCTGACTTCTCTGATCCTCCCCTTCTTCCAGTGTCCCCCTCTTATCTCCTGATAAGACATATCATGTGGAGTCACTTTGCACATGCTCAGTTTGGTGTGTATTGCTAGAGAGGGTTTTTTTTTTTCTTGGGAGGATGCATGTGATCGACACAGGGCCAATCAGCACTGTCCAGACAGAGGTCAGGGGTTCTGCATACTCCTAGAGCAAAAGAAAAGCTCCTCCTACAAGCTGTAACCAGTGCTCTGCTGGACACTGATAGAAGTCACAAGACTACTATATACTGCTAATGAGAAAAGTTATTTAGCAGTTTATATCTACAAAAAAAGTTGCATTTCTATGTTCTGTGTACTGTGGGAGACCAGACATAGTGAATGCAGGGTCCTGTGTTTAGTAACACTTTAAGAACACATACTTGAATAGAATTCTTTTTTAAACCAAAGTTTACTATCACTTTAAAAGATGCCTAGTGTATTATTTCAAAAGTTTCAATGTATTAATAAGTATTTCTACAACCATCTTTGCTTGCAGTGTTAAGGTCATTATCACAAAAGGATTTGGGCAATCCACACTATTTCTTGTTTTTATCATTGTTCGCTCTTTGAATAAATATATATAATATGTATATGCTATTTATAATTAGTAAACAATGTTTTTTTTGTTTAGTGGTTTGACTATTCATCCGTTCCATTGTGTGAGTCATTACAAAGATGTCCTTGTGCAGTGAAAGTATGAAGGAACTTCTTGCATTTTTTATCTAATATACTGTATACAGTATATCAATTACCTAATACAGGGTTTCTCAACCAAGGTTCCTCCAGACGTTGCCAGGGAAACCTTGAAAAATTTGCAATTTTTGCCTCTCAGGTAAATTCCCACTGACACCATTGATCTTTTTAGCAATCTGTAAGGGGGTAATTCTTCCCAATGTCCACAAGTATAAGGAACATTCTTTATCTCACTGTAATGTATCATGAATTGTAGATAAAGCCATTTTTAGCAGGGGTTCCCTGAGACCGGAAACTTACGTCAAGGATTCCTCTGTGTTGAAAAGGCTGAGAAAGGCTGATCTAAAATATACAATAAATTGATATGAAACTCTTTTATTATTTGATTATATATAAGGAAAACTTTACAACTAATGAAAACCTCCATAGTTTATTTTTAGGGAAATGAATTGTGATCGGATTGATAACAATATATCATATCTGAATCTAAGATTAAAAATTTGATAAACTACATTTTACCAATCTTTAAATGGGTGGCTCATGTTTTAGTTTTCATGTTTTAGACTTTTTATTTCCTATGTTAACCACTTCCCGTCAGGCCTATATACATAAACGGCCGGACGGGAGCAGTGCAGGAGCAGGTTGCCGTTCATAAACGGCCTGCGCATTCACTGCCTGTGCGCGCTCCCTGGGAGCTGTGTCTGGACACAGATCGCTGTACGGGACCTCTGTGTGAGGTCCCTATTCATTCAGTAGTAAACAAGATTTCACTTCCTGACATCATTGCTTACTAAGTGTGAAATCTGTGAATGATCACAGAGGTCACATGGTTCAAGGCTATTCACAACAGCCTTGTACCATGTGACAAGCTGTGACCAATCACAGCTCTCACAGTATTTCTCAAAGGCTGCAAGAATGCAGCCAGAGACAAAGATACATTATTGCTTTTTCAGCCTTTATGGATATAAAAGCAATCAGTGTAAAAAAAGAAAAAAATCTTCATCACCCCCCACAAGTAGTACAGTGTCACTATGGTAACACTGTACTGCTAGGGTGACAGTATGTTAAAAAGAAAAAAAACATAAATAATAATATAAAAAAATAAAAATTTAAAAAATGTTTTTGAAAAGTTATAATTTTTGGTTATAAATTAATTTGGGTTATTATTTTTTTTACTAAAAAGATAGATAAATACATTTTGGCCAAGATTTATGAAGAAAGATTATTTATTTGCAAAATTTTATAAGAAAAAACACTTTTTTTCAAAATATTTGGACTTTTTCATTTATATAGCAAAAAAAAAAAAAATCCCAGTGGTGAATATATACCACCAAAATAAAGTTTTATCTGTCTCATAAAAATGCTAAAAAATTCATATGGGTACCTTGTTGCATGGCCGCGCAATTGTCATTCAAATTGTGAAAGCGCTGAAAGCTGAAAATTGGCCTGGATAGGAAGGGGGCGAAAGTGTCCGGACTTTAAGTGGTTAATCAGCTTCTTTGCACATATGATGAAAATGGTATAAGTACTTTCTTTTTTCTATTTGCATTTTACTTTCAATGCACAAGACATTGATCTGAATTATCCTACAGCATAATGTGTTTGTTTCTTGTTTAAATCTTTATTTTATAAACCCTTAGGCTACATTAAAACCAACGATTTAGGCCAGTGTGAATTTTAGCGGCAGAAATCTGATTCCTGCTGCAGCTCTGATGGGTTAGGTGAGGCTGCTGGTCCCATTCATTATAATGCCAGGTCACCAGTGGCTGCAGCTACTTGCAGCTCTTTGCACAGCCAACGATTACCTGTGGTGATTGCTGCTGAATGCACTTTGTTCTCATGCCCCATCTACCCTGGGCTCCATCCACCACTGGCATTTATGTAGACACTAATCCCACATATTGCATCACTAGAGGAGAGAATTCTCTAAAAGGGGAGCTAACACCTAATAAAAACTTTCCCCTTAACACACTATAATGGGAACAGATCTATCTAGTGGCAGGAAAGCAAATTGCACCTGTCAACACTTTTTTTTTTTTTTTTTTTGTAGTCCAAGTTGAAGTTACATTTTTTAAGGTAGTGGTTAGGAAGGATTAACATTTCTAGCTGTTTTGTGTAGGAATGCAGATCTTCACTTTTTGAGTTCATGTGCACTTCAATGGTCTCCATTAGGAACACAATTATCATACATGTCTGTGTACGCATCCTCATTCCATGGAGAAAAGCCTACTTGGTGTATGAAAGTTTTTGGTTTATAACTGTGGTTTCCACTAAGCACAATTTGGTAATGGGAGTGTCTGCTGTTAGAAGCATGCTTATAGAATATTATTATTATTATTATTATTATTATTATACAGGATTTATATAGCGCCAACAGTTTGCTCAGCACTTTACAATATAAAAGGGGAGACAATACAGAAACAATACAGTTAAAAACAAGAGGGTTAGGAGGGCCTGATCCTTGAAGCTTACAATCTAAGAGGATATCATAATGTATATGTATTATGAGTAGTTTATAACTGCTCTGAGATGCCTTTAATTCACTTAGAATAAAGTTTCCTAGTTTTAGGATCAGTAATGATGTTGTTTCTTATTCTGTAACTATCCATTTTTCCTCTTAATGCTGTCTTTATCAGACACACTTGCAAGGTTTAATCTCTTTGGATGTACAGTGATAGAAGCCGAGAATATATGTAGGTGAATAGAACTTTATAATCCCATGGGCTGGAAGATTTTGCAGTTTCTTACCGTTTTACAGTCAGAAAAGGTCATAGTGTACGAAAAGGAATTTTCTCACTATAAAAAAATACTTTCAACCATTATTCTTTTGCTCAAGTGAAGTGAGACCCTAAAATCCTTTGATTTGCCTTGAAATGTAAGCTCATCAGATTTCATAACACATAACATAGCTCTTAATATACTCCAGTTTGTACGTGAAAGGTCATTATTTAAGATCATTGGATAAAGCTAATTGGCTATGGGATTCCTTGGACAGCATGTATTATATAACAAAATTGATAGTAAAACTCTTGCTCACAGAATGAACTGTAATCAGTATTGGAGCCCTGGAAGATCTATTAGGGACCGTGTGTTCTAGTTGACTTGTTGGCCAAGCATTCATCCACGTATGTTGTCTGAGTAGGCTATTATCTCATGATTATATCATCACCATGGCAACTTCAGGAAAAAATGATCTCATTAGCTGATATCTTTCTCAAGGCTTGGTCTATAACGAATACATATGGCAACTATATGTCAACATCACCTGTATTTTTATGATGGGGGTGACGTGCATTAATAATAAAACCAACATCTCCAGTTTCCTAATCAGAACTGTGAGGTTTGAAAATATAGAAATATATAGATGTGTGTGATGTTCTGATCTATCTATCTATCTATCTATCTATCTATCTATCTAATTTTCAATCTGTATGGCCTCATTCACACAGATGAAAAATAATGCATTTACAACTGTTTTTATTTGCTGATCTGAACTCAGCTGCATTGTTTCAATGGAGACATTCACACGGGTGGAATTGCAATGGAATAACGTCCCTACAGCATGTCAACAACTTACAAGCCGACCTCAATGCACTGTGTAATTGGGTAACTATGT